GGCATCTTACCAAGTTATTTTGGTTTTTGACAAATTTTGCATTTTCTATAGTTTTCTCGGTCAAAAAAGCTCGATAAATGGTCGGACGTGTCGCAACTTACATACGGTGTCGGAAATCATTCAAATCTGGCATGGATGCCTAACGTGAGAATATGCCCATTTGCATGCAGAAGTCGCGGGGACAGTCCTCGGATTTCTTGGTTTTTCCTAGTGAAAAAACCCTAAAATATTGCCCGCACGAGACGCAACATGTATTCACCGTCCAATATGTCAAATTTGGGTTGGGGGACTACCTTGGGTATGCCCACATGATGGCAAAATTTGGTGTCATCTCATGCATGGCAGCAGACACGCCATGTACAACCAGAACCTTTCGGGTAGGTCGGCACGGCAAGTCTCGAAGAACTTTTTTTCACCTCCACCAAATGGACCGAATTTTATTCACACATTGGCATCACCATGGCCAACATGCATGCTAAGTTTCGTTGGTTATGACGTTTTATGCATTTTATAGGGTTTTCCCGTGAAAAATCCATAAAAACACAGCCGAACGTGACGCAACGTGCGTTTGGTGTCCGAATTCGTTAAACTTTTGCATGGAGGCCTTACGCTGGCAATATTTGGTGTCATTTCATGCACGACAAGGACCTACACCATGTTCAACCGGGATCGTTCGGGTCTGCCGGTAGGGTAAGTCACGAACCAGTTTTTCTCTTCACATTAACCAAATGGAGCCAAAAAAATTCCACACACTGGCATCACCATGAAAGGCATGCATGCCAAGTTTCATTTCGTTATGGCATGATATGCATTTTCTAGGGTTTTCCCAATGAAAAAACCCTTAAATATTGCCCGCACGTGACACAACGTGCATTCGATGTCCGAATTCATACAAATTTTGCGAAGAGGACTACCTTGGGCATGCCCATGCGCTGGAAACATTTAGTGTCACTTCATGTGCGGCAGGACCTACATAATGTTCAACCGGGATCGTTCAGGTCTGCCGGTATGACAAGTATCGAAGCAGTTTTTTTAAGTCCATAAAATGGAATCAAATTTTTTCATACTCATATCACCATGGAAAGCATGCGCCTAGTTTCGTTGTTTTCTGACATTCTAGGCATTTTCTATGGCCTTCCCCATGAAAAGGCCATAAAATACTGCCCACATGTGACGCAACATGCGTTTGGTGTCCAAAATCGTTCAAATTTTGCATGGAGGCCTTCCATGGACATGCCCACATGTTGGCAAATTTTGGTGTCACTTTATGCATGGCAGTACCTACACCATGTTCAACCGGGATCGTTCGGGTCTACCGCTAGGGTAATGTAACACTTCGGTAGTTAAGCTACAGTAAGCACACACTAATGGTGCCATATCATCGCAATTAATTTTCTAAAAATCACTTTGATCCAAACCCAAGTAATTCAAATTTAAAAGTACAAGTCAAATATTTACGTCCTCAAACATGCAAACAAAATAGTTCATAATATTACTAATATTCAATAGGTGTTTGTCATGAAGAAACCCACATCAAATTAATTCTTAAATTGACCCTAGAGATATTTTAGGTGGTCCAACAACATTTAAATTTTTACTTTAAAATAAACAATAATTTAAACATTTACAAATAAAATAAAATTTTGTGTGTGGCCTCAAAATGTTTCCTTGAATCTAAGTGCTAACTTTCATCAGTAAACAAAATCATTTTCCCACTCAGTTAATAGATAACGAGCTATATTATTTAGCAGATAGGGGAAGATTAAAACTATTATGCGCTGTGCACTTTAAGCCCAGTGATACAGTGCAGCCCAGCCCGCCTAGACTACCTCCTCCCTCGCTACAGAGCAGGAGCATGGCGTGGCGGACATCCACCCCGCCGAGGCCACCGTGTCAGCCATCCCATGGGTCCCCGGGGTGGATAAGTGCCTCCCTCGACGCCTCTCTCCCAATGTGAACCCTAGCTCGATCCCCTTCGCTCCCTCACCCTCTACCTCCTCTGGATCGAGATCGCCTCGGCGGATAGGAGCGCGCCATCGCGAACCACTGCGTCCGCCAGCGACCTCATGCTACACTACCGCGTCCAGGAGACTTGCCGACTTCATCTTCATCAACCATGGGCGCAGAATCGAACTACGCCACGCCGCATCGTCGCCTTCTCCGCCTCGGCCAACGAGCTCCGCCGCGTCGATTCACCACCTCCGGGCACCCCTGCACCTCCCCGACCTCGCCTTCATGCTCGCTGTGAGCTCCCCTCTCGCTCCCCTGCCTTAGCCCCTTGATTCCGTTGCCGAAGTCGCCGCTACGCGCCATGGCCGCCGTGGCCGCCCCGGGGCTCCGCCCCTCGCTACCGCTGCGGCTTGCTGCTCGCCTTGGACCTCGCTAGCTCCGCCTGCTGCTAATGCTCGCCGGTGCCCCACCTGCCTTCTGCTTGCCCGCGCGCCAGACCCCTGCCGCGCTCGCCGCCCGTGTGTTGTGCCTGCTGCGCGCGCACGCCTGGCTACCCCGGCAGTCACGCCCCCACGAGCGCGTCCGCGTGCATGCCGCTCGCTTCGCTGCTGCTTTGCTGCTCCCGCCGCCTCCTGTTGGTGTTGCCTGCTACTATCAATTACTGTAGATGCGGCTAGCTTCGCGAATATTACATCGAGTAACCTCGTCGACTGCCTCTAAACTGCAGTTGAACAACTGTTAACAGGGCTAAAAAAAATATGGGAAGGTAGTACACTTGACAAGGCTCAAATGTGTTCATTGGACCAAATCCATTTGATGGATGGATTAAATCCTATGAAATTCACAAATTGCTATCTTCTGTTAACATAAAACATACTTAACCCCTAGCAGCGTGTGTGCGTGCTGTGTAGGTGTGTGTGCGTGTGAGTGTGTGTGGCCGATGTGCCCATATGTGTGGGGCTGCCCCAAAAGTAGTTTAGGTCTAATTTAATTAGGTGAATTAGTTTTTTGAGAGATAATGGGCAGCCTCATTCATACATTTCAAAACTGTTCAGTACAAACTATATTCCTGATAACTTCAGGAGATACATTAAACCAGCATGACCCTTCATCATGTTCAGCAGACTTTGCTAGAACATGAGCTGCCTCATTACAACTTCGACTAATATGAGTAAAACAACAGGATAAGAACCTTGAAGCCCTACTCTTAATATCAAAAATTACAGCACCTGTGTGAGACCTGTCATCCATTTTACTCTTAATTTTGTTGATCAAACTGGCAGAATCTGTCTCCACAAGGATTTTCTGGAAACCGGAATCTTCAGCAAAAAACAACGCATGGCGCATTGCAATAGCTTCACCCAGCTCCGGATTATCAACATAATGAATAAACCCTCTGCTTGCTGCCAGCACCCGACCTAGATGATTTCGGATCACAACACCAATGCCCATGCGTTTAGTCTGGGCAAAAATCGCAGCATCAACATTGACCTTGACCGACTCAGCCGGCGGCGGAGACCACTTCGGGATTGACACCTGGTGCTCACGCCTATTGGAGCCAGCCGACCTGAAATTGTGCAATAAGATGAAATCGACATAAGCTTTGATCTTGCCTGCCACACGTGAAGGATGAGACATTTTTTCACCATTTCTTATGTTGTTCCGGTTCTCCCATATATGCCAAATCGCCACAACAAGGATCAGTGCATGTAAATCTGAGGCACTAGAAATCCAATCCAGAAGCCATTGTTGTATATTGACAAAGCTTTTCAGTTTTAAAGACAAGTTAAAACACTTTTTAAGCTCAGCCCAGATTTCTTTAACATAGTGGCACAAAAGGAGGCAGTGTTCCAGAGTCTCAAACTTGTTACAATATATGCAATCATACCTTGTTGCAATTGACCGTTTGTGGAGTTGATCACCCGTGGGAAGGCAATTGTGAGATATTCTCCATAGTACTATCTTCATTTTATCTGGACACTGAATTCTCCACAGATTCTTCCACAACTTCTGCATAACATCTTGATTCGAGGAAGATCCACTGCCAACAGAACTTCGATTGATCCAGAACTGATTTGTTCTTACTAGATTGTAGCCCGACCTCACTGTATAAATTCCATTTTTGGTATGGCTTAGGGGAATTTTAAGAATTCTTTCTGCAATGTCACGATCAAAGAGTTCTCTAACAGTATCTTCTTTCCAAGTGGAGCCGTTACTAGAGATTAGAGAGCTCACTGTTTGGTTATCTTCCACTGGAATTAATGTTTGCATTGTCCCATGTATGGTGTCTGGTATCCAATTATCCCGGATGATAGAAATTTGTTTTCCGTCTCCAACTCTCCATAACAATCCTCTCCGCAGGAGCTCCTTCCCATACATAATGCTTCTCCATGTGTAAGATGCTGCTCTTGGACATTTTGAGTTCCAAAAGTCTCCATCAGGAAAATATCTCCCTTTCATTACACGGTGACATAGAGAGAGGGGCTCCAATAACAGTTTTAGGATTATTTTTTTGCTCCTTAGCTAGTTTTAGTAGTGCTAAGTTAGTCTAGTAGTAGATGACATGTAGGCCCCCACTTTAAATAAATTAGATTTATTTATTTTGTAGGTAAATAGTCTATGACATGTGGGCCACACATCCCCTTTTGACTAGTCAAATTGACTTAGTCAACCCGAATTAGAATAATATGTTAATTCTAGAAAATAAATTAAACTTTAAAATCAATATAAAATAAACCGAGCTCGGATGTAAAAACTTTGTACATAAAAGTTGCTCAGAACGACGAGACAAATCCGGATACGCAGCCCGTTCGTCCGCCACGCATCCCTAGCATAGTGAACACGCAACTTTCCTCCTCCGGTTCATCTGTCCGAAAATGCGAAACACGGGGAATATTTTCCCGGATGTTTCCCCCTTCACCGGTACCACCTCATACCGCGTTAGGGCACCCCTAGCACCGCTACTTGTCATGTCATGCATCGCTATGCATCTGTTTGCTTAATATTTATTGTTTCTTCCCCCTCTTCTCTTGCTAGACACCGAGACCGACGCCGCTGCTACTCAGTACGACTACGGTGTTGACGAACCCTCTCTCTTGCCAGAGCAACCAGGCAAGCCCCCCCTTGATCACCAGATATCGCCTAATCTCTCTCTACTGCTTGCATTAGAGTAGTGTAACATGTTATTGCTTTCCGTTAATCCTATCCTGATGCATAGCCTGTCCTTGCTACTACTGTTGTTACCTTTACCTGCAAACCTAATGCTTAGTATAGGATGCTAGTGTTCCATCAGTGGCCCTACACTCTTGTCCGTCTGCCATGCTATACTACTGGGCCATGATCACTTCGGGAGGTGATCACGGGCATATGATATATACTTATACTGTTACATTACTTATGATACTGTTCGGAGATGGGGGCTGAAGGGGCAGGTGGCTCCATCCCGGTAGAGGTGGGCCTGGGTTCCCGACGGCCCCCGACTGTTACTTTGTGGCGGAGCGACAGGGCAAGTTGAGACCACCTAGGAGAGAGGTGGGCCTGGCCCTGGTCGGCGTTCACGAATACTTAACACGCTTAACGAGATCTTGGTATTTGATCTGAGTCTGGCTACTGGCCTATACGCACTAACCATCTACGCGGGGACAGTTATGGGCTCTCGATGTCGTGGTATCAGCCGAAGCCTTCGTGACGTCAGCGACTAAGCGGCGCGTGCCGGGTTGGACCGCATAACGCAACTTCCTTTGTAATGGAGGTTGCTAGGTCTGCTCACTGGCCGTGTACGCAACGTGCAGGTGTGCAATGGGCGATGGGCCCAGACCACTGCGCCATAGGATTTAGACCGGTGTGCTGACCTCTCTGTTGTGCCTAGGTAGGGCTATGACATGTTGATCTTCCGAGGCCGAGCATGACCCAAAAAAGTGTGTCCGGACAAAGGGGATCGAGCGTGTTGGGTTATGTGGTGCACCCCTACAGGGAAGTTAATCTATTCGAATAGCCGTGATCTTCGGTGACAGGACGACTTGGAGTTGTACCTTGACCTTATGACAACTAGAACCAGATACTTAATAAAACACACCTTCCAAGTGCCAGATACAACCGGTGGTCGCTCTCTCACAGGGCGACGAGGGGAGGATCATCAGTTAGGATTATGCTATGCGATGCTACTTGGTGAACTTACCATCTACTCTCTTCTTCTGCTGCAAGATGGAGGTTACCAGAAGCGTAGTCTTCGACAGGACTAGCTATCCCCCTCTTATTCCGGCTTTCTGCAGTTCGGTCCACATATGATACCCTTATTCCATTTGATACCAATGCATACATATGTAGTGTAGCTCCTTGCTTGCGAGTACTTTGGATGAGTACTCACGGTTGCTTTGCGCCCCCTTTTCCCCCTTTTCTCTACTCGATTGATGCGACTAGATGATGGAGCCCAGGAGCCAGACGCCACCGTTGACGACGACTCCGACTACACTGGAGGCGCCTACTACTACGTGCAGTCCGCTGACAACGACCAGGAGTAGTTAGGAGGATCCCAGGTAGGAGGCCTGCGCCTCTTTCGATCTGTATCCCAGTTTGTGCTAGCCTTCTTAAGGCAAACTTGTTGACTTATGTCTGTACTCAAATATTGTTGCTTCCGCTGACTCGCCTATGATCAAGCTCTTATATTCGAGCCTTCGAGGCCCCTGGCTTGTAATATGATACTTGTATGACTTATTTTATTTGTAGAGTTGTGTTGTGATATCTTCCCGTGAGTCCTTGATCTTGATCGTACACGTTTGCATGTACGATTAGTGTACGATTGAATCAGGGGCGTCACAGGTAAGTCTCAAACCTGTTTTTTTACATTAACCAACTGCAGCCATTTTTTCCACACACTCGCATCACCATGGAATTTGTAGGATCAAAACTATGTCTAGAGGAGGGGGTGATTAGACTACTTGACCAAATAAAACTTACCCTTTTCCCAGTTTTAGTTGTAGGCAAGTTTTAGCAATTCTACCAAGACAAGTGTCACCTTACACGTGCAAGTCTAAGAGTTGAGCAGCGAAAAGTAAAGCCATTGCATATGAACGTAAAGGAGAGATCGAAGACATCAAACACAATTAAGACACGATGATTTTTGGCGTGGTTCCGATAGGTGGTGCTATCGTACATCTACGTTGATGGAGATTTCAACCCATAGAGGATAACGGTTGGGTGAGTCCACGAAGGGCTGCACCCACGAAAGGTACACGAAGAAGCAACCTCGTCTATTCCATCATGGCTTCTGCCCATGAAGGACTAGCCTCACTCAGGGTAGATCTTCACGAAGTGGGCAATCTCCTTGCCCTTACAAACTCCTTGATTCAACTCCACATGATCTTGGAGGCTCCCAAGTGACACCTAACCAATCTAGGAGACACCACTCTCCAAAAGGTAATATATATTTGTTGTCGATGATGAACTCCTTGCTCCTCTACTTCAAAAGATAGTCTCCTCAACACTCAATCACTCTCTCACAGATTTGGCTTGGGATAGGAGAAGGATTGGAGTGGAAAGCAACTTGGGGAGGCTAGAAATCAAGGTTCAAATGGTTGGAATGGAATGCCTTGCTCTCAACACAAGTGCATGTGGTTTTCTCTTTGAAAATGGATATGAAAGGTGTAGTTCCATTCTAGTGGCTCTGTCTGAGAGTAGGTGGTGGTGCAGGGTATAAATAGCCATCACTAAAAATCCACCCATTACAAACTTTACGCACAACTCAGTGACACAGAAAAGAATTCTCGGTGAGACCGAATAGTGTATAAGATTCAAATGTTAGGCTTCTCGGTGAGACCGAAAGAATCCACTTGGTGAGACCGATTTGCGATATCTAAGAAAATACCTCATTTCAGTAGTTCCGATGGGTTCAACTTGGAAATTCCGAAGTGAACACAAAGGAGTACAGAAATTTGGTCACTGCACTTCGGTGGACCAAATATCATATCGGTTGTACCGAGTTTCTAAGGTTTGGCTTGTGGCTTTATCTTGGTTAACTAGGTGTGTCCGGATGTGAGTGTTTCGATGGGACCTAGTTTGACTTCAGGGTTTTGATAGATGGAGAATGAGAATGTGGTTGAGGGTTTTTGGAGCAATATCTTCTAGGACTTTGAGCAATTAAGTCATGATAAAAAACCTCATCCCCTTTAAATAGTATAGGCTTCCCTTTGGACTCAATGTGATCTAGGATCACTTAACCAAAAATGTAGAGTCTTCAAGCTTTTGCCAATGCGTTTCCTTAGCATTTTGATGGGTCCACATCCAGTTGTCCTTGCCATGTCAACTTTGAACTTTTCTTGAAATATTTTGAATGGTCATTAGTGATTCAGTGGATGGCCATCGACGCCACCATCATCCGGTGATTCTTCCTCACCATCTCCAAGGAGATTTTTCACATCATCCTTCGCGACGGCGACACCGCGCGTACGGTGTTG